AGAGAGAGAGAGAGAGAGAGAGAGAGAGAGAGAGAGAAAGAGAAAGAAGCGAGAGGAGGAGAGAACACACCTTGAAGGTCCGAACAGATGACCGATGATGTCCACTATCGTTACCCTGATCCCAGCTATGGCCGCCACTCCCGATGATGTTCTGATTCCACACATTGTTCTCGGAGCGTTTACTGTTCTCATTGCGCTTGTTGCTCTCGCTCCGCTTCTGGTTCTCCGTGCGCGTTTTGTTATCGGTCAGCGTGTTTTTCTCCGTGAGTGTGTTGTTCTCCGTGCGCTCACTCACGGCAGACGTCGCATTCGCCGCCTCCACCTGACTGCCATCCCCATTGCCACCATTCTTGTCCTTCTCCTTGTCCTTGTCACTGTCGACCACTACCTCCTTCACATCAATCCGATCTGCCGAAGGTTTCGCAAGCGTTGATCTACTTGCGGAATCATGCAAAGGCAGAGTAGCAGCCCCAGCACACCATTCAAAAATGTTATGGGACGTGTGACCACCAGGGGGGTTCCGTGCTCGGCCGAGCATTCTGGCCGTCGATTTCAACCCGCTGCGCGAATGAACACTCGTGGGTGTGGTTTCAGGTGGAACAGCCAGTTCCTCGTGTAATTGCGCCTCTGCTGTGCTGTCTTCAGCAGAGTCCGATCCTGTTTCCTTCCGCTGGGATGTGGATTCGATGTCAAAGAGATACTATCCGGCAAACACACTGTCACAGATGCTATGTCACATATACTACGTGATGTGTTCGTTGTTGTCGCAGAGACTATATGTAGCAGATAGTATGTCACAGATGCTATTTGCTTCCGGTGGAATGGCTACTACGTCGCAGATAGTGTGTCGCAGATCCTATGTCTCACTCAAGTAACTATCGATCGAATACTATGTAGCAGATACTCTTACTGTCTCAGATTCATAAACTATGTAAGCAGATACTTCTGCAGAGTAGCAACGGCTGTGATGTGTACCTCTCCCGCACCGAATGACGCGACTAAGATAAGTCTGGCTCAGACAAGTAACTGCTGTAATTTCTCTGTCTCCGCAGCTGCTACTATGTCTCAGCCACTGAATACTACGTCTCAGCAGCTGCTACTATGTCTCATATGTCTCAGCCGCGGAATACTATGTCTCAGCAGCTGCTACTATGTCTCATATGTCTCAGCCGCTGAATACTATGTCTCAGCAGCTGCCACTATGTCTCAGTCGCTGAATACTATGTCTCAGCCGCTGAATACTATGTCTCAGACGCTGAATACTATGCCACTATGTCTCAGCCGCTGAGTACTACGTCTCGGACGCTGAATACTATGTCTCAGCAGCTGATACTATGTCTCAGCCGCATAACTGCAGCGATCTGTAGCTGTGCCTTGTCATTCGAATGATGACTCTGATACTCTGTCGCAGTCTAGTTACTGTCGTGTAATTTTCTATCTATACCGGATACAACAAGGATTGCGGACACAATAGGAGATTTCTCCTGGAGCTTTGAACTTAATTGCGTCCACCAGGCAAAGAACAAAACACCTAAAAAAAAAAAAAAAAAAAAAAAAAAACCGTCCGTCCACCAGCCAGTGGAAGAAGTCGTACTAGTGTGAGTATGGCCTGCTACGCGCAAACACACGCAGGCTCGCCTACTGCTTTAGCGCAAAAAAGATTACAAAAGGGGAAAAAGAAAAAAAAAAAGAAAAAAGAATGATTGATGGACAATCCTTGCTGGGAGGAAAGAAAAGAGTTAACTGATCCGCCGTCCCGACAGCAAACGACAAACCGAACATGCCGCGATCTATACGTGGTCTTGAGAAGGAAAATGCACCTGCGCAATATCACAGCCAGATCAGACATATCCCAACGGGCTTACAATAATTAGCCCTTAAAAAAAAAAAAAAAAAGACAGATCCCAATTACCGAACGAACTGATGCGATGACGTGGAAGCAAAGTTAGCAATTTTTTATTTTTTTATTTTTTTTCCTGCAATCTTTCAAAAGCTTCCTCGTACATCACAAAAAAGAAAGAAACGAAAAGAGAAAGAAAAAGAAAAGCTTGCTACAGTAAAAAAGGTCCGAAAGGGAGGAGAGGGGGGGAAAAAGAAAAGAAAAAAAAAAAAAAAAGTGCGGATATACTCGCGCTGGAGCTCTTTGCCGGGAAAAAAGAAATAAATGAACTTCACCGCAACTTCCGGTTAGAAACGTCCAGGGGCGTGGTCCCACCAGCAAAGAGGATCGGATCGAATGCCTGAATCTGGACGTAATTGTGGAGAGCAGGAAATCGAGATTGAACTGCTTTCCTGCACCTCTGCATAAAACACATCCAGATTCAGGAGCTTGATCCTATCCTCTTTGCTAGTGGGACCTCGCCCCAGGAAAGTCCACAGCCAGATCAGACAGGTCCCAATAACGACCGAACAATTTTTTTTTCGTGAGATCGACGCGAAGACGGCAAAGTGGTCACCCTTTGAAAAAGCTCCGCGTGACAAAAAAAAAAAAGCTCAGAACATACTAACGCGAATTTGTTTGAACTTTGAATGAATCCGGCGTCAATTCCGGTCGCAAACGTCGTGGAAAGCCCGATTCACCCACATATTTTTTTATTTTTATTTTTCCTTTTTTTTTTGACTCCTTGAATCGGGTTTAAATTTCCAGTGGAAGGTTTCAGGAGATGTTGGTGAGTCGCAGATAGACTCCCATGAAGCGAAGCCGGGTAGTGCTCACGGATATGAATGGTTGTAGGATCATGGATAGAGAGGTAGCTCGTCCCTTTGTGTCTTTTGATAGATTTTAATTGCCTGATTCTTCTCTTTTCTTCAAAAAAAAAAAAAAAAAAAAAAAAAGGGCGACAGCCTTGAGATATCATCATTTTTTTTAATTTTTTTTTTAACTCCTTGTTTTCGAAAAAAGGGCGACAGCCTTGAGATATCATCATTTATTTTATTTTATTATTAGCTGACCGGGCCAAGGCAATTCAGAAAATATTTTGGTTTTATTACTAATCAAGTTTCATCATCTGGAGTCGAACTCGGGGCTGTATTATTTCAACAGTTCATGCATTGGGTGTACCCACTGAGCTACCACCGTAGGCTCTTAGGTGTCCACAGATTTCAGTCAGCTTTCGGGCAGAACTTGAGAATGGCCATTTTCTATAAGTACACACGCTAAAAAAAAAAATTAAAAAAAAATAATAATAAAATAATTAAAAAAATCATAAAAAAAGAAAAAGAAAAAAAAAGGACACACGCGCAGGTGAGAGCAGTTAAGGAACCTTAGATCATATACTCACACTGGTCTTTTTTTCCGGATGTATTTGTGCATCATCAAGGTCAGATTCAGTCCAGTAAGAACGAGTCGGCGTATACCCTCAGGCCATTGTCACAACGGCATTTTCCTGGATGCACATAACAGGAATTACCTACAAATTCAATTGAAATGTAGGCCAACTATTGAGTGCGAAGTAGCTGCGGGATCATTACTCTTTTTTTTTTTTTTTTTTTTTTGGACCTTGTCTCGATTAAATCATTTATGCGTTACCTCCCAATTTGAGCTGATGTCCCAAAGAACTTCGGCCCCCCATCCTCCCAAAAAAAACTGCAATGTCCATCGGGACATATCCGTTCGTTAAAATGGGAACGATGCAGAGAAGGGGAAGCTTAGCATGGCCCCTGCACTTTCAAGGATGACACGCATAAATCGAGAAATGGTAAAAAAAAAAAAAAAAAAAAAAAAAAAAAAACACCTGCAACGTCCCCCACTCCACCTTCACACTCGCGGAATTTCCTGGACGTATCTGACAGTGGGTACGACCCAATTCGATTGAGAGAAAGGGCACGGTCAAGTGTGATGAGAACGCGTTCCTGCGATGTACATGGCCGTGAAACTGGCTTGAATACAGTCCAAAAAAAGTGCTCTGGTATGTTGTTCCAGACGACCGTAAGGCAGGTAGGCACGCATCCTTTCATGAAGGGAAAAAAAAAAAAAAAAAGGAAACCAGACTCTTCTTGTCCAGCATAACCGCCTAGTACGCAATAGGGCGGCGCTAGTCCGGTTGTTGAGTTTGAACTCAGGTCTCCTTTGCAGAACTATTTCGGACGATCGCCGTTGTAGCTGTATTTGGGTCATTATGGCTGTATTTAGGGTCTCGTTAGACTCTCCTAAAAGTGCCTGTTTTTAGGATTGCGTCTTGGTTGCACGCAATCCTAAATCCAATTTTGAGATAGAAAATGTGAAAACGGCGTTAGGACGAGTCCTAAAGGATTTAGGATTCCCCAGGCAAAATCGTCCTAAATTTTCCAGTAGCCCCCGACCTACTGAAAAATTTAGGATTCCGGCTTTTCACGGACTCATTGCATCGCGGGCAAGGCACCTCGAGTTGCTGGAGTTGCTGGTGCAGAAAAGGCACCGTCGACACGGAGTTGCTGGAGTTGCTGGTGCAGAAGCGGATTCCCGAATTTCACGGACTCGTTGTGTCGCGGGACTCGTTGCGTCGCGCGCATGGCACCGTCGACAAGGAGTTGCTGGAGTTGCTGGTGCAGAAGCGGTCCGTCGGGTCAGTGGTCGGACATCGGAGAGGTTTTCTGTGGGTCAACGCGGGCAACGGCCACGAACGATAGCCGTTGGCGGGGATTGGATGGACATTGGCGATGCGGCTGCGTATACGCATATGAAAACAGGCCGCGGGAGACCTTTTAGGATGAATCCTAAAAGATGAATTTTAGGATTGCATGTAGCGATGCTGCACAAAATCCTAAAAATCCTTTAGGACTCGTCCTAAAAATTTTAGGATTCTTTTAGGAGTGTCTAACGAGACCCTTAGACTGAAAGATACCCCAATACAGCTACAAAGGAGACCAAAATACAGCTACAAAGGTCGTTATTGCAGAACTTTTTCAGAATTGTACTTTTTCACTCATCTGCTTCCACTGGAGTTCGAACTCGGGTCGGGCCTGCAAGCATTTCAACAGTTCAGGGACGCAGCAACTGAGCAAATACCAACTGGCCTACTACCTTCCTTCCCCCGAATACAACGTACGGTCATTCTAGCTGCATTTGAGGCATCTTTCAGTCTAGATGCAGCTAGAATGACCGTACGTTGTATTCGGGGGAAGAAGGTAGCTCAGTCGGTACACCGCTGAACTGAACTGTTGAAATACAGACCTCCTGAGTCCGAACTCCACAAGAAGCAGTTGACGAAAAATACCACAATTCTGAATTGCCTAGGGGCGGTCAGTTCAATGATGATATCTCAAAGCGGTCGGCCTTTGAAAGAGAGGCGGGGGGGAAAAAAGGGGGGCACTTTTTTTTTTTTTTTTCACACGCACACACATGCCCTTCCATTTTGAGGGGCGGCAATCCGGCTGTTGTTGTGAACAGAGAAACGGTCTAACCAATAATTCTCATGTGAAACACGGACGACAAGTTCTCGAGAAAGGAGGGGGATGAGAGAATCACGTCATAGACAGACAGAAAAAATCCAATCCACACGAGAGGGAGGCAGACACTCGGTAAGAATCGCCGAGGAATGTGTCCAAAAAAATGATAATTATTAAAAAAAAAAAAAAATGATACAATGGAGCGCAGAATAGAGTGCCAGCAGCAGCAGGTCAACCGCGAGCTACCGCCTTCACCCGAATCGAACGCCCGGTCATTATACCTGTATTTGGTGCAACTTTCAGTCCAGATACGGCAATAATTACCGGGCGTTCTATTCGGGTGAAGACGGGTAGGTCCAGCCTGGGACGTCTATGTTCTATCACCAGACGCCTCTCAAATTCTCAATGACAAAACCTTGATGCCCACCGCAATGACAAAACCTTGATGCCCACCGCAGAATAGAGTCCGGTTGCTTACCACCAGCAAGCATTGTTCAACAGACGAAACAAAAGACTAATAAGCGATAGACGAACGGAGATCATAAGGGGAAAAAAAAAAAGAAAAAAAAAAAAAGAAAGAAAGGAGATCAACAATCTGCAAGAAAAGCAGACGACCAGCAAAGAGACCCCTCATCCCTCATCCCTGCGGCCCTAGACACCTGCCCAGGGAGGGGCATCCCCACTTGGGCTGGCCGCCCGTGCATAGCTAGCCTACAGGGTTACCCATTCCGGTCGGGATACTTCCCAAGGTACCCAGTCACACGGTCTGGATGTCCGTCGGGCCAGTAGGGGCCTCGCTGCACTACTCTTGAAATGCACAAAAGACAAAAATCAAGGCCGTGTATCTTTCCATATTCTAGCGGAAGATTCACTCTCGTTTTGCACATTTCGAGGGTAGTGAAGCGAGGCCCTAGGTCGGGGGGGGATAACCCACTCGGCTTACCAGTAGATACAGACAGAGAAGCACACCCCCCCTCCACCAAATGTCACTGGCAAAAGAATAAAAAAAAGAATAAATAAATGTCACCGGCTAGGAAGTTCCCCTAGATCTAGGAACAGGATTTTCCGGGTTGATTGTTGAGGGATTCCCGGCCTCATGGTTGATTGAGTATAATGAAAGCCTGAAAAGGCCCCCTTTTGTAAAAAAAAAAAAAAAAAAAAAAAAAAAAAAAAAAAAAAAAAGATCTAGGAACAGGGAACCCAACAACAGATCTAGGAACAGGGAACCCAGACAGGTATATGTCAGCAACTGGGCTAGCTCAGTTGGTGCACCCAACGAACTGTTGAAATACAGACCCAAGTTACCCGGACACAATCAGATGACCAAAAAAAAAAAAAAATCATTCTGAATTACCTGGGGCCGGTCAGTTCAATGATGATGATATCTAAAGGCCGTCGCCCTTCTATTACCAAAAAAAAGGGAAAAAAGATCTCACCTGTCAATCAAACCCCT